TTAGGGGCCATGTGACGGAGCCGGGCGGGGCGGGGGCTGTGGGCCAGGAGCCTGCCCGCCCCCCTCGCCTGCCCCGGTGAAGGCCACACGGGGCAAACCCAGCTCTTGCTGTAAGCAAGGAGGCGTTCCCCCCCGACACGACATCTCCATCAGAGAGTGCGGCAGCGCTGAGGAGGAAGGGTGCCACGCTCTGCCGCAGAGACCATCCCCGGCCACCCGACCCCTCAGCACCACAGAGGGGGTCCCATGAAGGGGCAGGACTGATCCGTGTCTCACAGGGTGCTCTTGCCTGCAGTTACCACCTTAGATGTGTACCTCGAAGAGCAGCTCTCCGCCTGCTGAGCTTTACCCTGAGTGTTGCATGTTGTCCAGCCCCACAGAAAGGCGTCCAGTAATGAGTTAACAGTTTTTGCTGGGCTTGAGCCGGCTCTCTTCACTGCCTGGGCAGGTGGGAATCTCGCTAGCCAGGCCCGTGGGGTGTTCCCATTTCCCTACATGGTTTTACAGAAGCAAGGGCAGACCGCTTCCTGCATAAGTTAATGAATAAAGTATTAATGAATGATGCCCCAAAGATGTTTTGGGTGTTAAAGGAAATGTTGCCCCCAACCCCAGAATTTTGCAAGCCAAACTGAAGGATTCTTGAAACACAGCACTTGCCAACTTCTCAGCTTGGCCAGAAATACTGCAGAGAGATACCTGTTTCCTTTCATTTCTCTTCCAACAACCTATAGACAAGTATTGCCTGCTTTGCATTGAGTAACTGTATTGTCTGCAGTCAGCTTTACCTGTCCAGGGTTAAAGAGGCAGGTGGTGAAACTCTAGGGCATTCCCTGAGGACAGTAATCCTAAACCCAGGTATGGGAAAACACCCAAAGAGATCAATCAGCTCTGCAGCACTCTTCCCAGTACAGATAGCAGAGTGAGCCTTCAGTGGGCTGTAAAACCAGTATGAGAGCTGGTAAAACTGGTCTGAGAGAAAGAAAGGTGGCTTCAGGTAGGCAGTGTTTGTCAGGAGACCTCTCTGGCATGCAGCAGCATGGCAGGGACATTGGATCACAAATGTCCCAAAGGGAGTGCCTGTTCAAAAAGGACCTGGGGGTGTTGGTTGACAGCCAGCAGTGTGCTCAGGCAGCCAAGAAGGCCAATGGCATCCTGGCCTGTATCAGAAATAGTGTGGCCAGCAGCAGTAGGGAAGTGATCGTGCCCCTGTACTCGGCACTGGTGAAGCTGCACCTTGAATACTGTGTTCAGTTTTGGGCCCCTCACTACAAGAAGGACGTCGAGGTGTTAGAGCGTGTCCAGAGAAGGGCGACGAAGCTGGTGAGGGGTCTGGAGAACAAGTCTTCTGAGGAGCGGCTGAGGGAGCTGGGGTTGTTTAGCCTGGAAAAGGAGGCTGAGGGGAGACCTCATCGCTCTCTACAACTACCTGAAAGGAGGTTGTAGCAAGGTGGGTATCAGTCTCTTCTCCCAAGTAACTAAGCGATAGAACGAGAGGAAATGGCCTCAAGTTGCGCCAGGGGAGGTTTCGATTGGATGCGAGGAAAACTTTCTTTACTGAAAGAGTGGTTCAACATTGGAACAGGCTGCCCAGGGAAGTGGTTGAGTCACCATCCCTGGAGGTATTTAAAAGACGTGTAGATGCGGCGCTTAGGGACATGGTTTAGTGGGCATGGTGGTGTTGGGTCGACGGTTGGACTCGATGATCTTAGAGGTCTTTTCCAACCTTAATGATTCTATGATTCTATGATTCTATGAAACACAGCTCTTGATTTACTCCATCGATGCTGCTGCATGTGGAGAGCTGTGGAGTGCTCCTCCCGACCTCCCCTCTCAAATGTGTTTGAATACCGTTGGGTATTTGCCTCTGTGTATTTACCCCTAATGTTGGGAAAAAAACCCAAGACAGTCAACAAAACCCAGACTGTGTCTCTGAGGAATGTAGCGTGTAAACGCGGATCAGTGGATCCGTGCAAGCCAGGAAATGCAAAGGCAGCTTCTCTTTGAGATCCAGGTCAGTAGTCTTACTTTTACAAGCTGACATCTGCCATTATAGTCAACTCTTTGTTGCTGTTATGAAAAAAGTTTCCTTTTTATAGTTTTTGGGGTTCTTTTTGGTGGTTTGGTTTGGTTTGGGGTTTTTTTTTCAGCCATTGTGTTCCCCTCTTTTCTATAAATAGCCTTCTGACTGGTAGGTCTCAGGACTAACTCCACAAAGACATTGAAACACATCGATTCCCCCTGATTTCAGTAGAGTCAAAAGAGAAGTGTCTAAATACCTTTCTTTGAGCCTGACTGTTGATGTGTCTGTGCATCATATTTCCTTTTGCTAAAAGAAAGCAAAGCATCATTTCCTTGTCTTCCAGAGGGGCCAAAAGCTTTATGGATGAGTGTCTGCGATGGACTTTTAGGTTTCCAAGGGAAGAACAAAGTAGTAGTAAGCAGTGGTATTGACAATAGCACGTCTACATCCTTGATGTGTACTGAAATACTGTCTGATCCTTGAAAAGTCTTGCTATTCTTTGATGCCATTACTGACTGTGCTCCAGGGAGGAAAAATGACACAGGTGGAAACTATTAAAGCTCAAATATATGCCCACTTATGCCTGTATGTAACTGGCCTTCACAGCACCACCTCTACTCGCAGGCCTGGCAGTGAGTGTGGCACCCAGCACCTTCAGCACTGAAGGACTGACTCGCTAATAACCTGAGTTTTAGGATATCATTACAAGCTTTTGGAGGCCCTTGAAGAGAAGACCTTCTCTTCACTACCCTGATGAACACTGAACAGGCTCTGGCTTCTGGAGACATTTCATTCCTGGGGTTACCTTGCATTACTAGTTCCAAGATCAATGTATGCAACCTGAGGGAAGATTAGGTGCTACTTCCCGGAGATACCTGTGCATTGTGCGGGGATAAAGGACATGGATAAAGTCTCACGGTTTTAAAAGTTCACTGCAGCTGGAGCAGTGGTGCGTCAGTTATCTTCCAGTCCCTGTGAGAACGAAATGAGCTCTAAGAATTAATTTGCTACAGTCCAAGTATTGACAACCCTGTTGTTAGACTCAGTGGCAGGGGTACAAGAATGAAACAGGATAGATCAGCTGTAAGAGGTTTTTCTCTGTCTCCTCCAGCCAGCAGCATGCCAGATGCTTGCACCACCTCAGGACTGGGATCCCGTATTGAAGCACAACTCGTGCTGGGTTCAGGAGAGAGGGGAGAG